TGGCCACACCAATTTAATTTGTTGTTTCTTAGATTTTTTTCAGAAAAAATATCTCCATATTTTTCGACAGGGCGAAAAAAAAACAGGCCAAGGCACCCCATGATAGCCGGAGATGTTACAATATGAGCCATGAAGTCAACATACCAGGCTGGTTTATAACTACAATAGATTTGAACTTTTAATGAAACAAAGTTGCATTGTTACATTGCAAGAACTTTAACAACTAGGAAGAAAAGGACTTTCTTTAACTCTTGGGGGCAAAATATGTCTTTCATTGAACATTTTGCAGTTGATTTAAAACCTCATAATTTTTTTTTTCTTTTTGCAAATCAGAAAAAACTGGTGAATACGAGAAACAACAAATTAAATTGGTGTGGCCTTAATGTTGTAAACGGATCCAATCTGGTTGAATTTGTAAGTGCTAGAACCAATATCTCACAAATCCCAACTGCCATTTCAAGATGATATCAAATGAGCAGCTCTAAAGTCGAGAAATGGATGATATTTTATGCATACATAACAGCAGACGCTTTGCAAAAGTCTCCTTGTCTAAGGTGTTTTTGTAAGATAAGGCCACGTAAAATGCCTAAATCAAATGACAAAGACGGAAATGTAAAGAAATAAATTTGACGACTAGATTATTCACCATACCAAATATACTCTGTGTCATTTGTTCAACCTTCATAACCACATAGATTTTATATATATAATGAAAGCAGCTTTTTTTCTTGCCAAACTTTTTTTATTCGCACGCTCGCATCAGTTTTGGGGTTCTCAGAGGATGTCATCCATATAATAAAATCACCATTGCCTAAGTTAATCCGGCTATCCCGTGACTCTTCGCAGACTATTCTCTTCGCAGTGAACAGAGAATGTAAACAAACAAACAAACATGAAACATGCTGAGACTCATATGATCACACACATCTATTGGATGCTTTACTCATTGGCCATGCTGTAAGGATCCACATTTTTTTTACAAAATCGACCCTTATATCATAGTGTATATCAAATAATTGTTGGCGTTTAAATTATAATGAATGACTACTTCATATTGAATTAATGACTGATAGAAATACCAATACATAAGAATTTTTAATTGTAATGTTACAGTAACGATATGTATAGATCTTTTGTTTTTCGTTTGTCAATATAGTAAGGTTTTTCGTAACATGACCCCCTTCGCTGGTGCTTTTTCCTTGCAGGATATTGAGTTGATTTTAGATTTGAAATCCATTATATTTGATATCAACATCCAAACTATTCCTCCTTGATTCATAGAATTACAAATTCACAAATACGTAATTACAAATTAAAGAAGATAACGTGACACTAACAGTCATGAAATTTTAACTACATATAGCATACAATTATGCCACATTATACCAGTTTAAGGTACAACTACAAAGCATAAAATAGTAACAACTACATAGCAATACGCAACACTTAAAGATCGCTTTTCGGAGGTCAGAGGTCAGATTACAATTATACAGTATTTAGCTTCTAGCTTGTATACATGTACATTACCACCAGTGCTTTAATTGGTTTGTGTCTATCTTGTATATCAACATATCATTCCCCCACTAAAACGAGAAGATGTTACCATCGTTAATACTCTATCAAACGGCAGGATTGTCATAACGTTCTTGAACAATGGTGGTGTGGTTGATCTGGCGTGTATTGAAAGTGAGACTTTATACATCTATAATTGAAATAATGTTCTTGTCATTGCGGTTTTGTCTTCGGTTTAGACAGATTGTAAATGGAAGCGTATCGTCACATAAAGAGTGAATAGCTGCAGGTCGGGTGCTGTGGCCATGGCAATCATCTATTCATTGTAACTTGTTGGAGATCATGTTTGGTTTTTCAGCTGGTAAGTTTGAATTTGGTGTTTACATAATATCTTCTTCATCAGTTTACTTATTACGGGTAAGAGACTGATAGGACGGTTATTACGTCGGTTCAGAGGAAGAATTTTGTTTAAGAAAGATATTGTCTTAGTCTGTTTCCACTGAGTAAGAAATACTCCTTTTCTCAAGGAAGAATTAAGAATATGGCACAGAGGTTCTGCTATGTAATCAGCAAAGATTCTTAGTAACGTATTGTCGGTATTGTAAAGTCCTGTGGTTTTACTAACTGGAAGTGAGTGGAGTTTAAAACTTGTGGACATGGCTCACTGTTACTTCTCCAAACGAAAAGGTCAAGGTCTTGGTTGCCATGATTTTGTCCTCGATCGGTGCTGTTATACTGACAAGATCAATTTCACCTCCCTGTGTGAGACCCTCTAACTTGTTAAGGAAATATTCATTAACCCTGACTATACCTGGAGGGGGGGGGGCGTCTAAAAGTGCCCGCGTCAACTTTGATGTCGTATCGCGTCTGAACGGCTTGCGCTAGAACTACAAAACTTGGTGACTATTGTTAACAACAATTTTGTATCAGTTGAGTATTACAATAATTTTTTGTTGCCATGGCAACGGGTTTCTGACAGGCATTTTGTGATAAATTTAATATTTTTTGTATTAACGATAGAATTTTATGGGTTATGTCAATCTACACATGGTTTCTAATATTAATATCATTTCTTGTAATTTCATGTAAATTTAATCATTAAAATGCATAATGTATGCTAATTTGATGGCATCGTCGACCAAAATCCAATATGGCGGATTAGATCTGGTATATACGGGTTTAATACGGGTTTCCTTAAAATTTCATCACTACTTCCATTTCTTTTTACAAAAAAACTTCATATGAATGTCTTTTGTCTATTTTCAATGTATTTTAGGAAAAAAAAACGTTTTCAAAATTCAATATTATGACCCAAGATGGCGGATAGATTTAATATACTTGATGTCATTTTATGACGTCACCGGGGTTGCTATGCTAATATTTTTGTTATTTATGTTGTATTCCATTACGTTTTTAGGTAATAAACTAGACGGTTTTGGCCAATAAAATCACATTAATGACGCCATAATGACGTCATATTATGCCATAATGACATGTTGATATGATGTATTGTGACTATAACACCATTCTCTAAAAATTGGTGCTCTTACGATATACCTTTCGAGAGTTCTGAGGGGTGCGAATGACAACCCCCCGGTCCCACGAATCCCAAAAAAGCACGGTCTAGATAGGGTTTAAGTATTCAGCTATTTAGAACTATCGGGTTTTCCAGTATGTTAATCTCCACCAGACTCCTTTACAGGCTGAATAAATGTTAGAAACCGGCTAAAGCTTCGGTCCCAATTGCGCCGGTGCCCGTCGGGGATGAAGCCCCGGTCGGGCTCAGGAGTCGGGAGCGCATCGGCTGTCGTGGTGACAATTTAATGTTTCCTTCAGTAGCATTTTGTTAAAAAGTTTGTCACCCTTAATGGTCGGTCTCCGGCAGGCACCCGGCAGATTCTCTGACGATGTGTTGTACTGCCCTATACGTAATGCAGAATTCACGCTTTTGTTGTGATCATTTGGACTGTGACGTCACACATTGTACCAGGGTTTACGAAGTATACACCTTTATTTTGTTCATCTGGTCTGTGACGTAACAAATGTGTCCCGGTGAATTGCCGGCAACCAGAGGGGTACCTATCGGTGTTCTCACGGCTCGGTCACGGCGACTTTTTGTCAGCCGGGCCCGGGTAGAATCTAAGTCAGAATTAAATTCTTCTCGGGTCCCCACCGGGCCGAAAAATAGCCCGGTAGCCGCAGGGTGTCCCGCGGGGCCACGAAGGGGTCACGCCGGAAAGTGCCATAAAACAGCCCGGGAACTACCCCGCAAGGCCCCTTTTTCAATTGGGACCGAAGCATATGGGGGGGGGGCACTATATGGCCGGCCAACTCTTCTGGCCAATGTTGTCCCCTTACCCGATTACTAACATTTATTCAGTCTGCAAAGGAGTCTGGTGGAGAATACTCGGTCCCGGCCTTCCCGCAAGTCGGATCGCCCGGCCGGGCCGATACCTCGTACGATAAGGAATACCCCGTGTTGTATTCTATATGTATTCTTTATCGGAAAAGTAGCTATAGGCGGTCAAGATGCGATTGAGGTATTTGAAAGTTGGTCGTCTCTGGGGTTCTCTGTCCCAGCACCGCTTCATGATATCGTACAGGGGTTCCGGCCAGTCGTCCTCCCGGGGCAAGCGGTAGCCACGGCGGACTTGGGCTATCACAGTGTCATTTTCCCATTCTGCAAAAAAAAAATTACAAAACAAATCAACGTTAACATATATGCGTGTTTTGTATTGGATTTTTCGTAGATAATCATTAGTTTGACTGGAGTATAGCATATTCGATAAAAGCTCAAAGCCCCAGGCAGCTATATAAAAAGTGTCAACTTTGATATCACATACATCTGAACGGCTAGCGCTAGAACCGCCAAACTCGGTGACTTTTCCAAAAATATTGTTGACAAAAAATTTTGTACCGTCGGAATAAGATAATAATTATTTGACAGGCATTTTTTGCTAAATTTAGTAATATTCGTTTCAACAATAGAATTTTATGGGTTTTATGTCAAGTTACACATTGTTTCTAATTTTAATAAGATCTCATATAAATTTGTTGAATTTTATTATTAAAAATGCATGAATTTTTTAACTTTATGACGTAATTGGCCAAAATCCAAGATGGCGAACCATATCATTAGATCAGGTATGTACAGGTTATTTTCGTTAAAATTTCATTTATACTTCCATTCCTTTGTTACAAAAAAAGATACATATGAATGGCTTTAGTCTGTCTACAATGTATTTTAGGCTTTATATTATTTTAGGCTATTCAAAACTGAGCTTGATGCTTGGAGCTTGATGATTTAAGATGGTGGATAGCTTAATATGCATGACGTCAATTTATGACGTCACTGGTGTTGCGTCAACGTTGCATCAGAATTTTGCCTGTTGCAGACGTTACCTTTTCCAACATAACATTTGGAAACTACAGACGGGATGTGGACTTTATATGCGCGAATGTACAGTACATTATGTATTTCGCGCAGGTGCAGTACGTTCTGCCGACGTGCTACCCTACCAAAGTATGGAATCCGTCCCTTGGTCAGGATCTCAGTCATCAGGATACCGAAGGACCAGACATCAGACTGTGACGTGAACTCCTTCGTGTCAATAGCTTCAATCGCCGTCCACCGAATCGGCATCTTACCTATAGCATTTGGAATTAGAATTTAGACAAGTTGGCTGGAACTCATTTAAATCCAATGGAAGCCCAATTGAAGGCTACATCATGTACACAAATTTATTTAAAACATTATCATAATGATACATAGATAATCTCCAAGTAGATACATGTAGATCATTCGGTGGCAAAATAATATCCAAACGGCAGGGCATTACCCAATTGGACACAGTTTCCTACGTATTCTCTCGCGAGTTTCCATCCCCAAAATGCATTGCGAAAACATGGGCCTAAACCTCATTTGCATAGGACAGGAAGGCATGATCCTGGTGACGTTAAACCGCCTGTTTTTCACTGTGTTTTGAGGTGTTGGGGCATTTTATGCTCAACATCAATTAAATTACTATGGGTCGAATCTGACAACAGATAGAGAATGAAGTTTTCATGTTCTTTTTAACATGGAACATGTGGTTTGTAACGTTACACAGCATCAGTATAGCGTTACCACTATAACGTTACAAAACACATATTCAAAAAAAATTCCCTATTTGTTCAGATTCAACCCATAGTAATTTAATAAACGTTAAGCATAAAATGCCCCAACACCTCAAAACACAATGGAAAACAAGCTTATTATCATGCCGCCACCAACGCAGACAGACGTATGAAAGAACAGACATACTTTTTATCACCTGAGTAAAGTGAGAAAATTCGTGTTAAGTGCCTTTCCCAACAAGGTCACAAGATTGGTGACTTGGCAGGGTTCGAATCTGGTTCCGATGCGAGCACCCTGCCGTTGCGCAACAGGACCCAACTACTAATCAATTTGGGGGGAGTTAATCAAGTAAAAGAGTAAAATATGAACTAACGACTTGTGGTCACAACGTAGATGCTGTCCAGCCTGGCCAGGCCAAAGTCCGCCACCTTGCACAGGTTTTTCTCACCAACAAGGACATTTGCTGATCGCAGGTCTCGGTGGATAACGTTGTTATCCGCAAGGTACTCCATACCAGCAGCGACCTGTAAAAGGATCCAAGCAGTTTTACACGACAGAAAAAAACGCAAGACATGTAAGGGGGCCCGCAAGCCCTTAAGTTCCGTAGAGCGTAATCGGCCGTTTTAATTCTACGTAGAGTGTAGACGGACCCCTCTAATTCAACGTAGAGCGTAATTGGCGCATTTAGCGTAGAGCGTAAATCGTTTTATTTTATTTGTATTTTATTTTATTTTATTTGTATTTTTAGGATTTTCTGTGCGAATAGAAAAAATGTTTGTTTACATTTTGATATAGTTTGTGGTGTTTTGTTTTATTGCCAAGCACAGAAATGTTAGAAATGTGAAGTAATTGCCCAGGGAAAATTGGGTTTGTTGAAATGCGGATGTAAATGCTAATTATATGAATTTTCTTTCATTCAAAATGTTTTAATTGTTGGCACAAAATGTTACATAATGTCCCTTTAAGTGAACTCCAATAATATCCATATATGTACCTGAGCACCCATGTCAATTAGGTTAACCAGTTCCAGTCGTTTCCCTTCCCCATGACGTAGGTAGTGCTCCAGACTACCGTTACACACGAACTCTGTGATGATGTAGATGGGGTCCTCCTTCGTGCAGACACCGAGAAGCTATATGTGCACATGAAACAATAAATGAACATTGTTCTTAGGAACAAACTGAGATTATTTTATTACCTTTGATAACCATACCAGAAATACCAGAACTAATTTAAAACTTGAAAGGCCGACATTTGCTCAGGAGCAAATGCAGCATGGCTCCACCACATCCCTCAGACCAAAATTGGACCTCTCCGCCCCCTAAATCACCCCTGTTCAAAATGTTACGCGATCCAACAGTCTATACCTCTATGCAGCAACGGAATCTTCCGATGCCTTTTGCTGTTGGACATGTATTCATAGCTGCCAAGGATTTGTATTTGCCTAATGCAAACTGTTGATTTTCAAGATTAGAAACGTTTATGCCCCAAATTGCAAAAAAGTGTGACAAACCTACTAAAGCAATTAAATGCAGTTTAGCTGTTAATATGCTATATCCTGTGCGGGTGCAATGTCTTAATCCAATTACAGTTCAGCACCCAATTGACCAGCAGGAAGATTACAACCGCCCAACGATGTTGAAAGCTGCATGCCTATTGGCTTTTGCTCGGCATTCCTTTCTGATGACTCATTCTGTCTACACAGTAACTATACTTGGATTAAAACAGCCAAAAGTCCCAAATTATACAATTCTAAAGGATACATGCCAAAAGTTATACTGAGTAGATGTTGGTAGATATATAAAGCATACCCATACCAAATGTCAGATGATTTGAGTGTAATACTAAGTCGCCAGGACCCCAAACAAAACAATATGAAAGCATGTATCCACAAAAAAAAGACCATGGGGGTATTTGCCCGCTCTACCTCCATGCCAAATTTCAGGTTATTTGGCTGAAAAAAAAGTTGAATTCATTTAAAGAAATGACAGGAGGAGAAGAAGGAAAATGAGAAGGTGAAGAAGAAGACTGGGGTTAGAAGAGACATGAGAGAACACAATATATTTCACCACTTCGTGGTGTGGTAAAGCCATAAAAAACAGTACCAGAAATAAAGGAAACATTTAGAGTTAGATTTAATGTCGCTCCAGCCAGTTTCAGTTGTGTCTTTCTTTGAACTATGGCTTCACCACACCACGACGATTTAACACTTTTGATTGAATGTACCTGGACAATGTTGCGGTGCTGTAGCTTCTTCATGGTGTCAGCCTCCCGAAGGAACTGGTCGTCCGGCATCGATGTCTTCTTAGCAGTCTTCACTGCAACTGTGACGATTTCTTTCCAAAGTCCTAGGCAAAGGACAGAGGGGTTACAATTTTGCTTATTCATCTTACAAGGAAAGGCTAAGCCACAAACCACCTTCAAGGGCATCAGCTAAAAGCGAAACGTTTTTTTCCTATGTGTATCTGTCTATTTCAGATATGTGTAGAAGTCGTCTTGGCTTGTACATGGTCTAGTGTCTTGTTCCTGTATTGTAAATAAAAGCAACAAAGAGAGAAAAAATTGTCACAACGTAACCCGTGTCTTTAGTTGGCTGTGCCATCTTATTGAAAGAATCTACAGCTACAATTGCATCAGATTATGAATGCTCAATGTTCTACCTACAATACATATTGTATATATTGTACTCTACTTTCTACATTATATTTGGCAAAAGAAAAATGAAAACTTAGTTGACAGACCTTTATACACGTCCCCAAAGTCACCATGCCCTATCCTTTCCTGAAGCCTGATGTTGTCTCGTGAAATCTCCCAAATTTCTGCATGTGACTCTGGAACCTCTGGCTTTGTTGCTGGACACGGAGTACTCAGTGGGCAACTGCCGATTTGTCCTTCCGCTGTGACAAAGAAAGTAATTGTTCAAATGATTCGTTGTATAGGACAGGCAGTACTATTACCTTCGTTCATAGAAACCTATAGTTAAATACACTGGAACAAGTGCTCGTGAAAATATTTTCTCACATTTCAATCTCAAAAATCCTTCTGCACCAGAGAGCCTCCCAAATATAGAAAGGAAACAGGGGATCTTGGATTTTGACCAATAGCGTCATCATATTCGGCTTATGGTTATCTCGTGATTTGGGGTGGGATAAACATGTTCAGGTCATTATTTCCAAGACAAGTTCAAGACTCTTTTGGCTAAAAAAATTAAAACGGTTCGGACTCATTTTAGACCTCCTTGCGTTTTATAAAGGTTATATACGCCCCACATTAGAGTACGCTGCCCCCGTTTGGAGCCCCAGCATCACGACGCAACAATCCATGAAGATCGAGCGAATACAGAAACGTGCCCTTAGAATTATCCTTGGCGCCCAATATACCCATTACGATGAAGCCCTAACTCACCTATGTCTGCCCTCCTTGGAAAACAGGAGAGAAACCCTTAGTCTTAAGTTTGCTAAATCCTTGCTAAGTTCCCCCACATTTAGAGGCTGGTTACCTCCAACCCGTTCGGAAGTTCATGCTAAAAACCTTAAAAGTTCCCAGCAACTCTGCATCCCACTGGCAAAAACAAACCGCTACAAAAACAGCCCTATCCCGTACTTCACTTACCTCTTGAACAAATTTACCTGTTAAAATCTCCAAGTGTCAATTATTACATCAATTATTATAGCTTATTAAGAACCTTTTCAATTCCTTATAATGTTATCATCATAATGTCATTGTTTACTAGTTTTTTTTTAATTTGTTATCATGTTGATCCTGTAATATAGATATAGATTTGTTATGTTGATCATGTAAAATGCGCAATTCAGCATCTTTGTACACAAATGAAGCTGCTATGTATTTTACTGAAATGTGAACGAAGTCAATAAACTCAATATATATATATTAGCATAGATTGTGCATAATACTTGAAATACTTACATAAAGATGTTATTAGTATTAGTAAATTACAAAATATTTGTATTAGAAAGCGTGTGTAAATTAACACAAAAGTTTTACTTGGCTTAAACATTTTATTGTTTACTGCCAAAATTACTGTTTTTTTACGAAAAATTCATGTAAGAAACCCACGGCAACACGAAAATTTCTCATCCTATCTCACTGCTTTGAAATTGGTGCCAATAGCATTTTAGGAAAATTCACGAAGTTTTGGCGCTAGCGCAAGACGTTCGGATGCTATCCAACATCAAAGTTAGCACTGGTACTTTTACCCCCCCCCCCCCCAAAAAAATAGGGTTAAGGATGCAGTGCATGGGCATACCAAGATAATGTTCCACAAGTTCCTTTAGGCTGTCAAATTCCAAGGCAGAATCAGCAAACACTTTTCCTTCAGTGGACTTAGTCACCTTGAAGTGACACACACTGTTGTTTCCAGTCTTGTTGCGCAACACCGATATCGTGTATAGGTGTGGGCCTGAAAAAACAACACATTGTTATCTTGAAAGTTCATTTCTGTTGATTTCATCGATGCAGGTTTGAATCAAAACAAGATTCGCCATTGCATTTACATTGAAGTTAAACTTGTAATAATAGTAATTGATTGTCATTTCACGGTTTATAATTCCACCCCTCAATACATTCTTTACTCAGCATGAAAGTTCAGCTGTGTTGGTACAAGTTATCATGAAATAAAGACTAAACTTTCCTTTCATCACTGGGATGAATTGGGTCTTACCCCCAATTTTTGGCTGACGGAAAATATTATTATGAAAACGAAAGGTCTCAAGATTTTTCCAAGACGTTTTCAAAGCATCTTGACACTTTTCCATAGCATCTCAAGATTGTTTAAAAGATCTCAAGATTAGAGAGCAATTTCAACATTTCTTTCAAGATTGCTTTTTAAATCTTGAAGTCTTTTAGAAAAATATTTTTTAAAGCATCTCGAGATACTATGGAAAAATATCAAGATGCTTTGAAAACGTATTGGAAAGATCTTGAGACCTTTCGTTTTCATATTAAGATTTTCTGAAAGATCTTTAGATTGTCAAGAAAAAACTCAAGATTGTTTCATAAGATCTCGTCTAAAATATTGAGATCTTTGTAATAAATCTTAAGATTTTTCTATTTTTCAGGAAGCGTGAAGACTAATGCTTGGTGTCATTATGATCCGCCATGTTACAGAGAAGTTTTTGGTGACGTCTCCGGGAGGAGCCAAATGTTACAGTATTGTATGCAATTTGCAAACATTCTAGGAATTGTACAGGAATTTTGTCCACAGGCATGAAATGTCCAGAGGAGTGTCTCCCAACTCTTTTTGCATACTCACGTCTATGCCCACATTCCTGGAAACCCTTGGGAAAACCTGTCTGCCCCGGATGCCCTACTTTCTGTGACCCCGGGCCTCGATCACTATACACTCAAGGGAGGAGTGCGCTGTATACCAAGGCTTCCTTAAAGTCATGAAATCATAGCAGTGCCATGCAAACAATAACCATAACAGCAACCACAGTTGGCGAGGCAATGTATGTAAGCTGTAAACAGCCAGAGGCATTAGTCCAAAGTGTTCTGATCAGTCCAATAATAATCTGCTCGACTGGTTACAATTAGCCCTGAGGCATAAACTTGCAATAAAGCTATTCTATTATATAATTGGCATTACCGGTTTCGCCGATGTCTTCTGTACTTCTCACTAGGAAAGTACCGACTGGGTTGTCATCAGAAAGAAGACGATTATCTGTGTCTCGTCGGTCCAAGGGTCCTGCGAACCATCTGGAGGTGAAAAATACAAATCAATTGATAAACATAATGTACTAGAAATACAATTACATCCCGAACATTAAAAAATAGCGAATTGTAAAACATGTTAAGATATTCGCACAATCTGCAAAGCGTTCATTGCAAGTAGCCATTTAACTTCTATATCAGAAATGTGCATAACATACGTACATTTTGGTCACTTACACATGGCGATCTCTTCCCACACAATCAAACGAAAGATAATATGATTCTTGTATTCTTTTCATTTCGCATTGTCCTGTGTATTGATGTGCAAATACTAAGTGTATGCACTACATATTGTTCATGGTGGAAAAATGAAATCTTTGCATTTGTTTGAAATCTTTAGGTATGTGTTTCTTCTGGAAAAGTCACCGCATTAAACGTTCCTTTTGTCTTCCAAACTGCGTGTTTTCGTCCTTGTTTTTGGTTTGTGATAAATAATGCAAACAAACTTAGTTGAAAGACGTCAATATTTACTTCTCTTCTTGCAGCTCGTCAAGAGGCGCCACGTAGTTGTAAGGAACCAATCCCACCTCCAAGTTGTCAAGCGACTGAGCCTTGTACCACCGACCATTCCTGAAAAGGAGGAAGGAGAACAACGGTATATAAACTACTATTAAGACGTTATTTCTTTCTAACAGCGTTGGTTTGAATAAAGACAAAGCTACATTGACACTATGCTTAAAGGCATGAACACCAGAATTATCTTTCCTACTTCTTATAGTTTTATGCAAAATGATACTTTATCAGGCTCTTTAAATGTAGCAAAATAAAACATTGTAGAATACATATAATATATATATACACAAAGATATATATATACCTATAATCAAGAATTTTCAAGTGTTGGCCCTCCTGGATGCTGAGATCTTCTGGCAATTGTGCTTTGTAGTCATAGAGCACGGTGTATGTGTGCTTATCTGTGCATATGAAAAAAATTGCAGATAACTCCATTGGTACGAAATCAATAACCAAACTGTAAATATGTCATATCATGTTATGTCATAGAAACAATCATTAGTAAACTAAAGCAACACATAAAAGCAACAAACAAACAAACAAACACGCCCTTAATAATAGCTTTAAGCTAGTTGGGCTGCCCTGGCTGTGTTGTACCAGCCGAACCAATAAATAAATAATAAAGAAACAAACAAACAGCAACTAATGATAGTTCAGCATGCAGTAACAAAAAGCAAATCAAACGCGGTAACTCACCAAGGCCTGTCTCCTGACCTAGGTTCAGTTGACTTTTGCTGAATTCTCTCCTGAGCTCCTTGCCCTGGAAGTGATCGCTCTCTCTGACCTCTTCCACGACCGTAGCCGGGAACCATCCTTGCTTTTCGTCGTGCATGGTCTCCCCGAACCACCAACCGTCAGGCTTCTTACGCAAGACGAAGAGGGTGTCTCCTTCTTCGAGAGACAGCTCATCAGGCTCCTCTGGGTCCCTGCGAAGGATGACTGTAACGATGGGACAATTGTCCTTCGGGTAGACCCTCCCTCCTTCCTCATCTGTACCCAGCTGTTGGAAGGCTTCAACCCAACGTGTCAGCTCACTCGGAGACTTGGCTGCGAACACCATCTCTTCTTGCTTCCCATTGCAGTCCTCGAGGAGAGTCACACTGAACTTGAAGTTCTCTTCTACCGGTTTAGACCAGAACCACGACATGAACCCTTTCTGCTCCTTCTTGGCAACTGAGAGATCTTCACAACTGTCATAAATGCTGTCAATCTCACGTACGTCCACCCGATCCCGCTTGCAGAAGTTCCTCAGGCTGAGGAGGCTGCCCAATTTTTCCTTCTTCTTTGTTAACAAAAGATAGTCAGTCAGGAGGACTACGTGAATCTTCGTCTTCTTTCCTCTTCCTGGAATCCATGTCAGTTCACCCTGTTTGACGATGGACCGATCCTTGTTCAGTATGGAGAAGTTTGGATTGACTTTGTCAAAGTTCAGCTTCTTGACGAGATCTTCTAATTCCATCATCTGTAGCTCTCTGCGTGTGGCTTGGTTACACTGCTTGGAGACGTCCCTCACAGCCATCAGTGCGCCTAATGCCGTGTCATAGAGCTCCGTGCCCATCTCTCTCAAACTCATGATCCCCTCCACCAGTAGCGGGAACCGAGTGATGCGCTGCATCGGCAGGATCAGAAATGAACTGAATGGCAGTTTCCCACACCTTTCATCGAGCTCCAGTTTCTTCAGGGCATCAGAGAAGTTCTGATTTGGTTCCTTGCTCTGCGTTCCTTCAGAAAGTGACCTTAAGGTGTTCTCCTGAAGTGGCAGATTCTTGCAGTAGCTCTTGTAAGGAACCAGGAGACCCTTTCTAGCGTGATTGGTGATGATGTCACAAACATCACTTATGACCACATTCTCCTGTTGCCTGGCAATCAAGTCGTTAAAAAACGACTGACTTGCCTTCACTACTTCTCTTGAATTTGACATTAATGCCTTGTATTCGCTTGGTGTGATCGAACTTCTCAATTCATCATCTGACATGAAATGCTCGACAAAGACGATCATACTGTGAAGATAGGACCCCTCCGTCTTCAAGACTTCAAAGATAGCCTCTTGGAGTTGTCGTTGCTTTGTGGTCATGTCGTACTTGACGTTGCTCTTGATGACTTCAGGGAGACTTGACCAACTCTGTCCGAGACTTGAATTCCAGAAGACCACCGGAGTTTCATACGTAGGCCCCTTGTGAATGGCTGGTGTCCGCTCGCTTCGCAGGTGCTGATATAGTGGTCCTGTACTCAGGGAATCAAGGGTTGACGTACCTGCCTGTCCGCTGTGTACGGTGTCTACTTCTCTTCGGTTTGGCATGGTGTATGTGCATCCTTCGCTCGTGCAAATGGTCTTAATGACTGGATCACTCTGCAAACCACCTGATAGGGCCACTAGTTTGATGGTGTAGCTTGTGCTCTCTTGTAGGGAACTGCAAGATACCGACGTCTGATCTCGTGACAACCTTCGCCTTTGCACTACGACAACTGGCTCTGTTATCTTCGTAATTTCAAGCTTGTACCCATCTACCGCTTCCTCCGATGGATCCCATGCAACTTTCACCGACGTGTCGTCATAGTACTCCACCCTGAAGTTCTTAACGGGAGAAGGTTTTGAGGAGATTGTCCCAGTTGTTTTTGCCTGGGGCTTTTCTCCATATAGATTCACCAGTGAAGAAATTTTCCTTTTGATCTTCATCCTGGTTCCCAAGGCTTTTATCCCAAGATCTTCTTTCAGCATCTTGTCGTCCAGTTCCAGAAGAGTTGTTCCGTCGATCTCATTTTCTCGAAATAGTTCTCCATATACTTCTAACTCTGGATAACTTTCAAACAGTTCCTTGATATCGCTTGGTGTCATCTCTTGGATTGACATCTTCCTCTCGGGGAGCTTATCTGCTTCGGCTGCTGATTGCTGTCCTTGGTCCGTGTTGGATTGCTTTTTGGGGTTCGGATGAGGCAACGGTCCTGGTACTGGAGCAGAAGGAGGCTTGGGGACTGAATCTTCTTCATGTAACTGCGTCGCTTCATCGGGGATAGGCTGTCCATCTGCCTCGCTGGCCAATTCTTGTGACGATACGGACGTCTTCGGCATAGGATTCAGAGCAGGAGGGGGCTCTCGACCAGGTTCAGGGAGGATGGCTGGCTTTGGCTTCGGTTTTGGCTTCGGCACAGGCTTTTTGGAGGAGAAAGACTCTGATTCCAGCCTCTTTGTTTCAAACTGCTGCATAGCTTGAGCAACAGGACCGGTCGGGACACGAGCAGGATGACTATGGGCAAATTTAGGCAATGATCACCGTGATGTATACACAATATTCACTGGGTCACCCCACAGATTCTAAGGCTGACAATTCACAAATTGTCGAATAACAATAATATCTACTTGATCTTGTTCTACAAATTTCTCTTAACCACACAGAAAACATAATATTTTTATACGTTGATATGAGGGCATAGGAGCCTAAGAGCCTAAATTGTACATTTGAGATGGTAAAAAAGTCTTAATTTACACAATTTAGTTGGTGTATGACAAACAGGTGAATCAATTTCTGTGGTCTCGTGTTAATGGATTCCTATAACAAAGTTCAGGTCATTTGGTTTTGATATTAGGGTACAGGAGCCAAAAATGTACTTTTTTGGCAAAAACTAGCAAAAATCCCTGTTGTAAACAATTTTAAGGTGGTATATGTCAATAGTGTTAATGACGTTCTGGTGGACAAGTGTCCAAGGTATCCTCATACCGAATTTCAGATCATTCAGATTTGGAACCAGGGTTCCAGATCCCAAAATGTACATTTTGCTTCAAAAAGACCCCCCCCCCCAAAAAAAACAAATAGAACATATAATTTTAAACGTCTGTAGAAAAAATGTCTCCGGGTTGGTCACTCTACCTTTATGCCGAGATTTATGTTATTTGCCAACGTTATTTACGAAACATCAGGACGAGAAGGAGGAGGATCCGGAGAGGAGAGAAGGAGAGAAAGAAACATGAGGGAAAACAATACATTTCACCCGTACCTGGCATGAACTTAAATAAAATAGAGGTTCGATCGCATTTGCTCTGGAGGAAATACAACATATTTCAGTCATAACCCACCCCACCCCCGTGAAATGGACTGTTCCAAGCTCACACCTGTTCAAAAGTATAGAACAAAGTAATTTCTGTCCAAAGCGAGTTATGTGCCAAGTCCAAGTTTATATGGAGCCTAAATTGACACCTACGCTTCCTAAATTGACATCGATTAAAAAAAGTTTTCACTAGTCAAGAAAGTCCATTAGCCCCAAGTCCGAAATCATTTACGAAAATACAGAATTTTATGTAATCAGTAATTTCTATGTATGCCAGTGCTTGAAGTTCACATTGTGTAAACAAAATAGCCGCCCATATTTGAAGCAACTTTGACAGTCTCCATATTTTCTGGATCAACAGCCATGATCTGATATTTCGGAATGTGTTGGTTTGATCATGGAGGTTAAAAAGAATCCTTTGTTTTATATATGTATTGAAGTCTTATTTTACTTTGATATTTTTGAATTAATGCTAGCGCTTGAATACACTTTGTTCAGTCGGTGGGAGGGGGCAAATACATTGTGGATTCGATTTCTCGACATCGGTTTACATCGGATTATTTTCAGGTTTTCAGCGATTTAAGGTTCAATGTAGTTGTAATAGAAACAAGAGTTCCACGATCTCATACCTTCGCCAAATGATGTTAACCCTGGCGGTTGACGAATTATACAATGAATTTTAATCATTGATTTTGTTAATAAGAGCCTCATTTGCATGGATTATGTCAGTTGATCATATTCTCCACCCAATGACAGCCTTATCTTAACAAAAAGGCTATTATAGCACTTCCCCATAAATTATGCAAATGCGATCATGATTTGAATAAGTATGTTTATTGATGTTCACCTTCACTTAACTTCCGAATGTGGCAAGTATGAAATTATAAAGAAATTGCCATTAATTATGCAAATCAGGTCCTCATTTACATAATCTATATCCTCGGATGTTTTTCTCGCTTAAGTGTTTCATAGTTCTATTATCGAACAAAGCAGATTTATAGAATTTCCTCATTAATTATGTAAATTACCTCCTGTTTTGCATAATTGTCATTTGATTATATCAAGCGTCGCTTCAACTACCTACATACCAAAAATCACGACAATCCGTTAACCTGTTCTTGAGTTATCCTCCTTCGAAATTTTTTTCAACAAATGCTCCTGCAGTTCCAGAACAAGCCGCTAGGGGGGGGGGCAAACTGATGTCACTTCTTCCCTATTCCAAGAGCTATCTGCCATCCAAAATTCGTGACCCTAGCATGTCCAGATCACGAGATATCAAAACCGGAAGTTCTGCTGCAGTACCAACAAAAGCCTCCAGGGGGCCCAAAATCTAATCATTTCTAGGTCTCATGAAGACCTACCCACCTACCAAGTTTCATTCCAATCCATCCACTGCTTCTCGAGTTATCTTGCTAAACCACACACAAACATACACACACACATACACACATACAAACGCTACTGAAAACATAACCTTCTTGGCGAAAGTATCAGTAATTCAAATGCGATTTTGGACTACCGTACTATCACAGATCTAATTTCAATATCGTCAGAGAGCACAAAGGAAATCAATTTTTCAGAATCACCAAGTCCAAAATTGAATTGTGAAAAAAAAACCTAGGCCCTATCTAACCCTCAGACACCCGAACTTTTTTTGTGACGGAAATGACCGGACGGGGTCCAAATGGTTTCTTTCAAATTTATATCCCTTTTTGCATTCTTCAGTGATCTTTGAAAATATATTGGTTAAACATAGTTAGAGGTATATTTTGGCATGATTTAGTGTAAAAAAATCCCAGCTCATTATCATAACTTATTACACAATTTATTTTTATCACATTTTTTGGCAAACTGCATAATATTAAAGCAATAATGCTTTTGGACCCCAGACGGTCTTACATCAGACTTCCTGTTGTCATTTTTACAAATCTCTTTTTTGACAAGGTCATTTTTTTTCAAATCAAGAATTTTCAAATATCATATAAAACTAGAAAGGCCGACATTTGCTTGGGAGCAAATACAGCATATTTCAGTCCATCTCCCTCCCACGCAAAAGTGGACTATTCCAAACTTACCCCAGTGCAAAACTGGCAAAGGTTCTCAAATAAATTAAATAGTAGCTATATGAGAACAAAGATGCAACAACAAGTACTTTGAATCTCGAAAGCTTTACTAATCTTATTACAGGTATGCAAAAACTAACAATGATGAGATTTAATACATTTTGAAGGTCTTAGGCACATAAAATTGAATGTGTGGGTCATTACGCACCACTTAGGTGCAATGTGACCTCAGGTAACCCGCAATGGAACACCTGCTCCATGGATGGAACCGGCCATTCTTTAGATAGAACATGGAACGGGTACAGCACTTTTGGCCTTTTTGTTGCTGAAAATAGCCATTAAAGTAGGTATTCCAACCAAAATTTCAAATACATAATACAGAGATGATTCTTACAGTTTCTGGAAGAGCTTATCAAGGTGAGTAAAATGCTTTTTAAATGAGGTCAATATCTTGAGCGGTTCCTGAGATATGGCTCCACGAAGTTGCCAAAATCTGACCTCGTTAACCTAGTACCTCCAGATTGTGAAATCAACTGAGAAAATGAACAAATTACCATTTTTGAAGGGTGATTAAAAGGTAAGTAAATGGTGAAAATCTTATTTTATCTTATTTATTGATAATATGTACTACATTGAGTCACATCACAGAGTTCCAGACTTCCACGACATTCTATTATGTATATATGCCGGGTCAAAATATGCTTTTCCCGACAAATCTGTCAGGTGGTAGCGTGACCTTTGACCCCTAGAGGGGGAAAAATCCTTGAAAGTTCACACACCTGTATTTTTTTATGGGAACAGACCTGTCTTCCAATATTTCAGACACAGCAACACCCATTTGTCTTCTTTTACATAAATGTGGTTTTCAGCGGTGCGTGGCCCAGATCAAAATTCAATCCAGATTGCCACAAGTTGTGCACGCAGCTAAATCGTGACCGGCCCCAAATCTAACACATATGGGGACACATCCTCGATAAGGTAACGCACTCTGATTGGCCAGGTTGACATGGTCTCACAAACAAACAAATACGGGCAGTGGGAATCATTCATTCAACCCAGATCACACGTAGTAGATCACACGAAAGCTCGCTCGTCTGATCACACTCTGGATATTTCTTCTCAAAATTTTCTCATCTTCGCTCTGAATCTTCGGACTGAGACACCGTGCGCCCGCCGCCCCACATGGAGCCCTCTCGCCGCTGCTTCCACGAACAGCGAACGCCGTGCTCTACCCTCCGCCGCGAAAG